ATAGCAATCAGTATATAACCACTGTCTGCCTTTTATGTGCATAGATATTGCCGATTAGCATACCATGTTTGAAACGCATTATCTTTAAAACCAATATTTTGTGGCCTATCATTCTGGCAATTTAGTTTACTAACTGCAGGTTTATCAGAAAAGGTGGCAAGATAAGTCAGAAGATTAAATTATTAAAATGTAATTCATTTTACCAATTCTAAGGCATAATTCCTGTTTTCTGCTTGTTCCAGCTAATGAAAGTTAGATTCAGTTCTTTTTTGAATTTGATCTAAAGGAGTTTACCAGCTTTCCCAAAGGATTATAGGAAAGCATTTTATACTAGGAAGGGCTGGCTGGTTAGATTTGAAAACAGCAAAAAAAAAAAAAAGCTAGAAAGACAGAGGGAAAAAAGACAGAGGAAAAAAGTCATACCAAGTTGTGTATATGTTTTTTGTTTATAGTGTTTTTTGAATTTTTATTTTCATAACAAATACTTGAGGGGTGAGGGGGAGGTGCAGGGGGAATGTTTAAATCAAACTTTCCCAGATGCTGGAAGGAATGGCATTATTTACTGTGGACCTGACCAAGTTCTGATTTTTCAGCTATACCAAAAATCCCACTGTTGAAAATTTCTGAACTTTCATGTTGAAACCTGGGTCCACAGAAACATTTTGTTGTTCATCCTCATCTCTTGTAATCAAGATGTTCAGAATTTGGACTTAATTTTTTTTTCAATTGGTTATTCCACTGTGTATGCAAGGTCAGGATTTAGTATTTTGTCCAATTCCCCCCCTTCTCCCCTGGAATAAAGTAGAACATATTATTAGCTTTCAAAAATCCTAATTTGAAAGATTTAGTTTGACTATAAAAAACTATCTTTGATACCAATTCTATCTAAATTAAAAAAAATAATAATTTTTGGTCTTTCATCCTTGTCCTCAGCATTTTTCATTTATCTTTTATATTTGTTTGTAATATAGGTTCAGATTGCACAATCAAATGTATACATTGGAAAATGTCCATCTTTAATGATGATCCTATTATTCAGCTGGCATGGCCAGAAGACTTTGTAACATTTCATACTAAGTATCAATTTCACATTTCCTGAGTTCCATCAAAGGAATTGTATTTTGGGGTGCAAATCCATACAATATCCACAAGTGAAAACCGTGGGTTCTAAATGAGTGACAAACGAACCTAATAGGCCTTCTAAGGTCACTGTGATGCTGACAAAGGAAAGCTAGGGGACATTGGGTAATAGGTTTGGTTGGGAAGGATTGGGAAACAATCAATCATTTTTACAGTAACTCCCTTATTTTAACAGTAGCTTTAAACTAAGCAAACCTGCACTTCCCCCTCATGTACAAGCCACACACAAAAGCAGTTTAAAAAAAATGGCCATTTGAATTAATTAAGCTAAAAAAGTTTTTCATGATGACAAGGAAGACTAAAAAACTGTTGTAATTTCCCTCCTGCTGTTTGAAAACACCAATCAAAAGCACAATTATTTAAAGTTATTTAAATCAAAACAGCAAAGATTTTGTACAAAATATTTTGAAAGGTCCATTATTGACTGATACCAAACCTGAGAAATCTCTGCCCAAATAATTATTGTTATGATTCTATAAAGGCTTAAATGAAGGGAGGGATTTAAAAAAATGAGTATATTTAAAACTGAATTAAATAGACAACAGTGAACTTTTAGGGTAACTAGTAGATTACAGAACATATTTAATAAATGAAGAAAAACATTACTGATAGGTTATGTTACTTTATTGGAAATTTGTGGCAAATTTTGTTCTAGTTTAATGGATTCTTGCCAAATGCAGGAACCCAAATGCAAGAAGGCTAACTGAGGACTATTGGCAAATTCCCAATAACTGTAGTCCATGTGAGAAGACATCACCTAAAGGTAGGTTTAGCGATATTCAATAAAAGGGAGAAGCATGGGAAAGAGAGATATTAAAAAAGGATTAGGATCAATAAGCCAGTCTGAAATAGGATGCGGTGGCAAATAAAAGGACAAGAAATAAGCGTACCCAGGGACATACCCATGGCAATAGGGAAATTTTACCTTAATCTAAAATAACTCTTAAGATCATACCCAGTATCATAAATTTAAAAGGCGAGACAACAAGAGAAGCAGCCATGGGCATTTTCTTTGTGGAAGAAGGTGGGGTGGGGTGGATAACAACAAAAACCTGCCAACCCAGTTGGCATCTGGTTTTGCCACCTCCTCCGACAGCGCAGCAGTTGGTACTGCCCTATCAGTGAAACAGCTCAACTAATGAAACTGCCTTTCTATGCCTCTGATCATACTTATTTCATTGCATTCTGTTATATCAATTCAAATATCAAAAAGAATAGTCAAAATATAACTGCTTTTGGTCTCCATATCCTTTAGGCTGCTACAAGTACTTTTCTTTAGGGGAAGTTCCTTAGACCACACTAAGGGCATTTAAAATGCAAGCATCTGGGTAAAGCTTATTAACTCATGGTAAATGCCTTCTAAGGCCATGTCCAGATGAGTGTGGATGTGCTGTATGCAGTACCACAGACTGGGAGATCCCAGGATCAAAAAACCCAAGCCAAAAAAAGGCATGGTGGTGCATGTGGCAATAGTGCATGCTGACCAAAACAAAAAAAGGCATGGTGGTGCATGTGGCAATACTACATGCTGACCAAACCCAGCCACAGTTGCTAGTCCTAGCCTTCCCTACCTCACCCAGGATAACCTGCCACATGCCAGAGCTTGTGTGGCATGGCCATTCCCCAGGGACAAGTAGAGTCCCACAAGGTATGCCTACTACTTGTCCCCAGGGAAACAAACATCTGCATTCATCTGGATGTGGGGTAAGTGTCTCAAAGCTTTATCACTTCAGGGGAGGTTAACTCTTGGCCTAGTTTGTGTAAGGGTACTTCAGTCTTGTCCACAGAGATAAAGCAAGAAATGTGTGGTCCTCCAGAACACTAAGATTCACTTCTCCCAAACTCCCCTCTCCAAGCAAGGATAGAGCCCAGCTGTCCCAGCTTCTAGCCACTTCTCTGCTTGCCATCTCTCTACTGGCAAGTCAGAGCTGTGCAGGTAATCCATGGTCTTAACCCTTAATTTGCGACTGCTCATAGCTAGGAATCTACACTAATCATGTTGAAAGTTCACTGCACAGAGGGTCCTTTAATATTGTTTTTTTCACTGCACACCTGTCCCTCTACACTGATTGGTAGATTACCCCAGCAGCCCTGCCTCTTGCTGCTGATCAGCTGGGAGGTAACAACTGTGGCATATTTAAAACCATGTTTTTTGCCTCCTGACTCATCAGGAGTGAGTGGAGAGTGATGGGGTGGCCTGGGCCCCCCCACTAATCAGCAGGGAAGGGGCAGGGTGGGGGAATGTGGTGAAAAGAGCAAGATTAAAAGAGTCACTGGGCAGCACACTTCCAGTGTCATTTAGATAGATCCCCACTTATAGCACAGTAACTTTAACACAGCTTAATATTTCATAAATTTAGTATGGTTTAAGTATAATGTGTAACTTCATCGTTCCTTGCACGAACAGCAGTTGCTGCTTGTTACTTTTGAAACAGCAGCCTTTTCTTGTTTTTTCTCCTTAACCTCAGGTGCGCTTTGTGCAATTATTAACCCTACCATCTTATTACTTTTGGAAACAGTAACAACACCTCTTATGAAAAGTTATGACAGTAGAGGGATATAAAAATGGACCCATTTGGAAGCTGCAAAAGTATTACATTAAATGGGCGATAGCTTTTATTAGATCAACTGTATGGCTGGAATCGAGTTAGAGTGACGTGATACTCAAAGGCTTGCCTAAATCTATCCCAAACATGCAGTTGGTCCAATAAAAGATATCAGCTACACAAATTCTTGCCATATATTTTTTGAACCACCATGGTTACAACATCAATTCAACACTATATTAAGTTTAAAATATTATGTCTAAATGGACAAATTTCACTAGACAGCTCTTTTTTTCTGAGAAAGAGGGAGGAAATGGACCTATTCTTGCAATCTGTGACACATGGACAAACCTGTGGGCCTCAATGAGTTTAGTGCTTGTTGATGGATCCCAGGACCTTTAAAATATGAAGAAAGGATCCTCATTAGAGTACAATAAGTCACTATAAAAACTGATAGGAAGGGCAATGATGAAGGTTTATAATTTTCAGGAGGCAAGGTAGAGCCGAAGCAAACTCTCCGATATAAATACAGGGTAGAAAGTTCAAAAAGCTCCTTCAGTCTGCAGTCATTATTTCTCATATAAATCCCACCTCTCTGACACTAAGTGTGAACTACTGATTAATGTCAGCAGTCCAATTGCATTTAAACTTTATGAAAAGTCTTCCGTTTTAAGTCACTCTAAATTGTCTTTTTCTGGGTCCCTTAGTTGCTTTAGCTTTAGTTTTTGACCTTTTACTATTTACTTATGCCCATGTGTTTGTGTAAATTTACAATAACCTCAAGATGTCTTTGAGTACATTTAAAGAGGTAGACTCACTTAACTTGAAAATGAATTTCTGGAGAAGGGAAAAGCCTTTAAAAACAATGCAGAAATACTGTTTGAAGGACAAATGGTATATTCTTACTTTTTGTTGACATTTTGACTTATATCTCCTGGAATAGTTCATAAACAAACAAGAAATGGCCTTCATGCTAATAGACAGCATGTATGAAATAGGACTTTGTAAAAAATCTGACAGCTTGAAAATGTAAGGAAGGTGCGTGAAACCTGAACTTTCAAAGAATAACATTCGCTCAGTACTGGAGAAAGATGTTTTATAAAAGGAAGAAGCTTTACATTTTGCTTGATTATAACAATATTTGTGTCAAACTGTTGCAGGTTTAGTTCTAATAAAAATAGATTAGTGTTTTAAATATATCAGGAATGGGTCATTAGAGTAAATTGCATAGATCATCAATAAAAAAGAAAAATTAAAACTTCTTAGTTGATTTCAGGAAAAAAAAATTTAAAACAACTCTGAATAAACACCTACTTGAGGTCTTGGGAAGGTTCTGCTCTGATATGGGGTGTCTCCACAGAGTGCCCAAACACTGCCCCTTCTGTGCCTAAAATAAATACATAAATAAAATATAGTACAATTATACTGGAAAGAAAAAATACAATTAAATATATGACCAAAACTTGACATTTTTAGGATAAATGATTTAGTCAATTAATTTACTAATGCATCCATCCATACCTCATTATCAATGGACATTCTGCAGGTTCAATATGTATTTTTCATCTTAAAGAAATATTACTGTTTATGCCAAAATCAGGATTAACTGCACTAAAAACTGATGATTTCCATTTATCCATGGAAGAGGCTTAACAAATCCAAAATTCTTAGAACTAGCTAATAAGTGTGAGCATACCATCAAAAGCCCATGAAGGGACCTTTTTAATGCCCAGAAGTTTTAAAACAACTAAAGAACTAAAACAAGCACAATTTTGAACACACACGTACACACACACACACACACACACACACACACACACAGAGTAGTTAAATTTTCAGAAGTGTCCATTAATTTTTATTTGTTTTAGGATTTGAATAACCAGAATGAGTTATTCTGTATGCCATTATTAAAGCTTTTGAGAACCCAGAGTTTCCAGCTGTTTCTGAATTTAACACTCACCTTTAATCACTTTCAATTTTGCATTCTCTCTCAGAGACCTCTCATTAGTTTTTGAAGCCAGCCAGTTTTGGGGTATTCAGGTATTTGTTATTAGTACCCATACCCCAATGCAACAGAATACATTAATATGTCTGAAAATGTTGGGTCTAGAGTATTTTTATGCATTTATAAACTCTGAAACTTATACGAAGCACTACTGGGTTTGACTGATTTCCATTAAAACCATGGTTCAGGAATAGTCAGATTTTGACAAAACATTTTAAAATAAGTAATTCTGTCTTCCGATAAGTTTTCATTTTTATTGAAAAACTGAAAAATATGTAAGTTTCAGTGGAGAAAAATGCAATCAACCAATAAATAAAACCATTTTAATTTCTAGCAAAACATTGATTTTTCAGCAAAAACCTAAAGTTTGCTGTGAATTCATCCATGCATTTTCAATAAGTTCTAAATTAATAGTCACAAGTAATAAGCTATTTTGTCTTTATTTCGTTCTCTTTACATATGCTATCTGTATATGTTAGGAACAAAGACCACCTATAGGCACCCTGCTCTCCCCTCTAGGATTCCTGTTTACATTTTTAAGTGCAGCATGCCAGCAGATAGGAGTCATTGGCTTTTGCTGCAGAATAATAAACAACAGAAGCCTATCCAGTTCTGTCTCTGAGAAATGGTTCCACACCTCTGCAGAGACCAAGAGCAAAGAACCATGATTGTTTCTAGAGAAGGACTAGCTTCTAAACAAAAGACATATTGGTTGCTGGAGGTTCGGCTCCTAGATATTTTCCTTAAAAGATGACATACTTGTCAAAAAAGTTCAATTTGAGTTCTAAGTGAATGGCCAGTAAGAGTCTTATTCCATTTTAACCAGTTAACCAATCTCTAATAATTAATAATTTTGTTACAAAGATGCATATTTTCACAATATTTTTCCACTGAAGCTTTTCTTTAAAAATAATTTGAAGAGTTAGGTCAAATATCAAATGTCATTAAAGTGAAAAGTCTGCTTACAAATTAGGAAAAATTAAACTAATATTTATGGCTAAAAGAAAAGAAAACTGCAGAATCTGACATGGTAAAAAAATGCTATGCAAATGGATGCTATTCTCTTCTCTGAGGACACAGACAGAAGTGACAATTTGAACCCAATCTGGCCACATAAAGCAGTATATAGTGGAGAACAAATACAAGTGCATGGCTGCACCTTCAAAAATGGCTGATAGGGTGAAAATCTGACATCATTATATGAGGGGTCAGATTAAGACATTGCAAATCACAGCATCTTCTGTAACTTCTGTCTGCACTGAATGTGAACTTCAAGCTGTTTTCAGAATGGGAGGGGAGAAAGAGAGTGGAGGGGGTTCATTCTGGGTGTTTTTCAGCCCCTCCAGAGCTGGGTGGAGAACCCCTAGAATGAGCTCACTCTTCTCCCTTTCCCTCCTCCTATTCAGAAACAGGGACAGGCTGGGAGAGAGGAGGGGCCATTGTCAGGGGAAACTAGCTGCAGGCTCACAGCAAGTAGCTAGATTTTTCTCTCCCCTGGAACCAACAGGGAACTTCTGTTTATTCCAGGACATCATTGTAACTCAGAACACTTCCTGCAAAGCATTCTCAGTTACAGTGGGGAGATGCACTTCTACCTGAGCCCTGTATCACAAGGATATATAGATATATAATAATTTATATTTCTAACTGTATATATATTTAAGATTAATAAAATTCTGATATTGTTCATCATTACAAAAATTAAAGCTTTTGTTTAGAATGTACTGATATCTACTTTTTGTTTATTTCAATCATCTAATGTCAAATTTATTTTTTTACCTATTTTATAATATATATATATAAAATCAATAGCCATGTGCCTGAAAGCTCTTTCCTCCTCTTCTGAAGATGGGGTTAAACTCTGTGCAATAAAAACAAACAAGCTCAGTGCTTTGAAGAAAAAGACTTCTTTTTAGACAACTGAAAATGAAAAAGAAAGAATTTGATGAAATACATATATCCATTCATCTTACATTACTAATATATGATTTGGAAAATTGTCTAGGATCCTAATATTAGATTATTTAATCTTCTAAGATTAAATAATATATTTTAATGTGATGTATCACCCGCAGGTTGGCTGATCTCCTCCGAAGAGCTTTAAACTAGGCTCGACAGGGGTCAGAGAACCAGTGGTCGAAGAGAGCCCAGGGTTGATAAACCACAAACAAGACACCAGATTGGACCAGGTAAGTATTAAGGGGTTGGTAAGCCATAAACAAGGCACCAGACCACACCAGGTAAGTAATAAAGGGAACACATGCCATCAAGGCACAGGGGCACCAAGAGCCCCCTTTGGGGGACTAAAATGTCTTTATACAAATGCCAGGAGTATGGGGAACAAGCAAGAGGAGCTCACACTCTTGCTTGCTAGCACCCAGTATGACCTACTTGGACTAACCAAAACATGGTGGGATTCTACACATGACTGGGCGGTAGGCATTGAGGGGTATAGGCTGTATAGGCATGACAGAGTGGGGAAGAAAAGGTGGGCGGGGTAGCACTCTATGTTAAGGAGCAGTATACGTGTTCCACCATTAAGTCGGGGGTGGAGGAGGGGAACACCGAGGCATTGTAGGTCAGGATCCAGGGAGAACCAGGGGAAAAGGACTTGGTTGTAACACATGACTGGGCGGTAGGCATTGAGGGGTATAGGCTGTATAGGCATGACAGAGTGGGGAAGAAAAGGTGGGCGGGGTAGCACTCTATGTTAAGGAGCAGTATACGTGTTCCACCATTAAGTCGGGGGTGGAGGAGGGGAACACCGAGGCATTGTAGGTCAGGATCCAGGGAGAACCAGGGGAAAAGGACTTGGTTGTAGGAGTCTACTACAGGCCTCCTCATCAGGATCAAGAGCTAGACAATGTATTCTCCAGGCAGCTAGCAGATGCCACACAGGCGAGGGAGGTGGTGGTCATGGGAGATCTAAACCACCCAGATATTTCTACGTATTGAGTTGTACTCATTCACATCTACCAGTAAAATGGAAACCAGATTATGTTCATTTAGTCTTGTGGTGTACTGTAAATAATTTAGCTTTAACCAGTTGTGAGTTTAATATCCTTTTCCAGTTAACAGTGATCTTTTAAATTTTGTTTTTAAATGGGATATGTTTCAAAAAGGCTTTTAGGTGCAAATCTGACTTTGACAGCATTTGGCTTGGCAACTGCACTATCAGTTAAACTAGCTCAATTCATCTACCTAAGGCAGGGCCAGATACAGGGAGCTGCACAAGACACCGCAACAGGGGAGCCGAATACATGAGGACCTGAGGGCCCTGGACCCCCTCGGGAAGAGGGCTATCACCTGAAATGCATAAAACTTTCCACATGTCCATCATCTTAACCCCCTCATCCCCCAGAAAAAATAAAAGTTGGTGCCTATTTACAGCAGAGTCCAGGCTCATGGAGGCCCTTTGTTTGGCAATACATAGGGCAGATAAAAGGGTGGGATGGAACAGACTGAGGATGCTTGTTGAAGCCAGAGACCAAGGCCAGAAACACCATGTTGCTGTACTGAAGTAGCTATTGGAAAATTGTCAGGAGCAATGATTCCTTTACTCCCTCAGCAACTGAGCTGAGTGACAATAGGGCCCCTACAGGACAAATCAGGACAGTTGGTGGTTGACGCAGGGAAAAAAGCAGAGCTCTTCAATGAGCTTTTTGCTTCAGTATTTCTAAGTACCAACCAAGCCAATTCCTCCACCTCGATCATTGATGGATGTCCACATGGCACCAATCCGCCTACGGTTAGTTCTGAAATAGTTAAGGAGCTCCTGGAGGAGCTGGATGGGTATAAGTCAGCAGGCCCGGACGACCTCCATCCGTGGCTGCTGAAAGAATTGGCCGGTGTCATAGCTGAGCCGCTGGCACAGCTGTTTGAGCACTCGTGGTACTCTGGCCAGGTCCCTGAGGACTGGAGAAGGGCCAATGTGGTGCCCATTTTTCAGAAAGGGAGAAGGGATGAGCCGGGTAACTTTAGACCAGTCAGTCTTATCTCTATTCCTGGGAAAATGCTAGAGAAAATAATCAAAGAACACATGTGTGGAGGCCCAGCAAGGGAAATGATGCTGAGGGGAAACCAGCACAGGTTTGTCACAGTTATATCCTGCCTGACATCCTTGTAGCCTTCTATGACCATGTCACACACTGCCTGAATGCGGGAGCTGAGGCTGATGTCATCTTCCTGGACTTTAGGAAGGCCTT